AAATGAGCTTTCTCTGCAGGGTGGCCGGGCACACCCTTAGAGATAGGATGAGGAGCTCGGTCACTCGGGAGGAGTTCATAGTAGAACCGCTGCTCCTCCACATCAAGAGGAGCCAGCTGAGGTGGCTTGGGCATCTGCTTCGGATGCCTCCTGGGCGCCTTCCTAGGGAGGGGTTCCGGGCATGTCCCACCGGGAGGAGGCCCCGGGGAAGACCCAGGACACGCTGGAGGGACTATGTCTCTCGGCTGGCCTGGGAACGCCTCAGCATTCCCCTGGAGGAGCTGGAGGAAGTGTCTGGAGAGAGGGAAGTCTGGGCATCTTTGCTTAGACTGCTGCCCCCGCGACCCGGTTCCAGATAAGCGGAGGAAAATGGATGGAAGGATGGATGGATACTTTAAGTCTTAATTATGCAGAACAGCACAGTTTACATTTATGTTATTCGATTATAATTATTGATGTATTATTAACATTTAATGGTAAAGGTAGAGCCAATTTTAAATACCTTATATGCTTATAACGTGAATTACTGCTGGGCAGCTTGTGAATTTTACACCAAAGATCAATAAATCTTGTGATTATACTGTATTTTGTTTTATTAACCTCATTCTGAAAAGTAAATATGAACTAAGGTTATCAAATAAATGTAGCGAGTACAAAGTACAATATTTTTCTCTGAAATGTAGTGAAGTTGAAGTATGAGGTAGCAGAAAATGAAAACAGTCAAAGTACTGATACCTCAAAATTTTACATAGGTGCAGTATTTGAGTAAATATACTTACTTACTTTCCACCTCTGATGATAAAGAGCCATTGTTTTGTGTTTTAACAGCATCTTGCATATGATTTATTGATTGACTGGATGATTTATTGGGGTTCTGCTCCAACTTTTCAGACATGTGAGTAGCCTGCAGCAGACCAAGCTGTTTCTATTTGATGTTCTTTTTCCTCTTTATCATTGGACTCAGATGGCACTGAATAATAATATATCTGGAATATTCGAATACTAAAATTAAAAACTGTTTACCTACCCAATCCATGAATATTAAAACAGTCAAATATTTCGGTCCAGCCCTAATATTATGTCAGTGCAATTAAGCAAACACTCCCTGTATTGAACCACATCTCAGTTTGTCACCCTGTTAAATCTGAAAATAAACAGGGCTGCGGCTGACTTCTGTAAACACATTTACACTGTGCCTTCAAGCCAGCCTGAGCTGCTGTGTTGAAGTGCATGTGTGCTGGAGCAAGACAAACTACAGTATAGAGAGCACAATTATGCAAGTACATGTATGTACTGGATGTATGATGTTACTTTTGATAAGTTATTAAACTCGGCAAAAGAAATGGACAGTGAGAACAGAAAATGAGAGGGAAATGTGTTTGCACAACTTTCCTTTGATAAATTGAGTAAAATGGAAAAGAGACCTAGAACTTTGATAACGTCAGTTTTCTACTTCTCTCACTGCTCTTATTTATGTGCCTACAGTACATCTTTCTCACTCCATCTCTTCCTCCTGCTGTTAGCTGTGATACAGTGTGTGACAATACAAACACCTCATTCTGTCACTGTCATCGTGCTAACAGGCTCATTGGATTGCCTTGTTATCTAACTCAAACAGTGACAACCCAAAGAAAGCACATTTCCATAATGTTATTGACGGAGTGCTAAGAAGCAAAGCTGCCTCGAAGTATATGCACAGACATGTTATTTGCATGTCTATTACCTCTGACCACGGCACTCAGTATGGGATGAGGAGAGGCAATTTGAAGCTCTGCTGCACATCGAACACCCCCCAACCACACACACAATCCCTAACACACCAGAATCATGGCAAGAACTGGAGAGCAAAGCATTTTGGGAGACAGGAAGTAGCATAATGAAGGCCAACTGTTTCCTTTAGAGGGTTAAATACACACTTGACATGCATGATGGATCAGCCATGAAATAGGCTGGAAGGCAAAGTTCAGAAAAGCCTGTGTGACGAGAATTTCAAACAGACTGTACCTGTGTATCTTCCCCATATCATGCCAGGCAGCTCCAATGGTGTTTAGATTGTAAAAGGAAGATAACGGGATGTATGAAATAGGTGGAAGATTTAGCTGCTGTGAGAAAGAGGATTATGACAGAGTTTGAGGATGTGAGGGGAATTCTTGTGGCTCACTGAGGTAGGCGCTATACATGTTATGTACCTGAAATATGATTATAGTAGTGTACATTTATAGCTTGGGTACCTCAGCATTAGTGCACCACTTGAGCTGCAGGGGTTTTGCTGATAGAAAGACCTGAACAGCAGCCCTCATCTCTGCCCTGGCCCTGTTAATTTCTGGGCTTTTCTACTGAATGTCATTCCTCATCCAGTCTCCAGTTCTGCCCTGATTAGCTACTTTGTTCTTTGCAAGACTCTGCATTGTGCTCACCTGTGTACAGCTCAGTTTTAGTGTTCTCACCTCCTGTCTGATCCTGTTTACCCATGTTTGGGCTCTGTTTGCTTGCTGGACTCTGCCTCTCACCTACTCCCCTGGAGTTATTGCTCGGCTTGGACTGTCTGCATACCTCTGACCTCAGGGCTTCTCTTGCTGTGGAGACACCAAATTTCAAAGAGAAAGCTTCAGTTACAAACTAGGCATGTGAAGTTTGAAAGACATGGACAATTAACAGGGGAGGGAGATTTCATGAAAATGTTAGATTTTACCGAAGTTCTTTTATTGAAAGCGCAAGAAGTGAAGACAGGAGATGACTGTATAAAATCAACAGGAGGTTTACTCAAAGCCTGGGCACAGGTGAAGTCTTACAGCGCTGGGTCAGAGAGACAGCTCCCGCAGGAAGTCCGTTCTCTGAACCACGTGTTCTCATCACATTTATCTCCTTGGGCTAAGCCCGCCATGGACAGAGGTAAAACATTCCACACTGTAATTCTATTGGCCATTTGGCATGAGCAGGTCAACCCCTGCCTGCGTCTGCTTGCTGAAATGTGATCTAAACCAGGTGTGTGTGTGTTCCTCAGGTGCCAGTTTGATTAATGAACACTAAACAATGGGTTGTCTGGGCTGCAGGCCCCCTTGTGTGTGTGATGCTAGTAAGTATGCTAAATGGGCCAGGTGGTCATCTCAGGTTGTAGGTCCCCTGTCTCTGCAGGACACCCCATGACAGAGCAGAACTTGGAATATGCTAAGCGGGTCTAGGTGAAGGTGCAAAACAGGCCTTTGTTAAAATGTAAAACAGGCTGTCTGGTTACCTGAAGATACAGACATCCTGTCTCTACAGAATTTGCAGTATACAGTTCCAAAGTTTCACTCAGTAGAATACAGCAGTCATCAAAACAGTTTTAATATGTATAAGCAAGGAAAATAAAGGTATGAAAAGTAACTAAAAGAAAATGAAGAACTGAAAAGTAACTAAAGCTTATAAAAAAGTAACTAGAGCCTATAAGAATCAAATCTTACACTCTTGCATGTCATTAATTCAGGACAAGACCCCAAATCCTCCCGAACCATAATAACCTGCAGTTATAGGCAGCTACCTCCTTATACTTTAAGAAGTTTCTCTACTGAGATATTTTGGGAACCAGTATGCATTTTGTCTGAAATAACCCTTCCCGTTGTGTGAAGAAGTGATTGTATTTGGATGTAAACTGGACCGTTGAGCATATTTCCACTATTTATATAATTATTATTTAGCTAACATTATGAGATGGCATGAGCCACCTATCGGTATTAACAACTAGTTAGCTACGTTTGGCTCCTGGTAGCCAGGAAAGTAGAACAGAAGCATCTATGCGGACAGCAGCTCAGGGGAGAGGGCAGTCCTCTCCTCATGGATCTCAAACAGAGTATGCAAGTCCCCTTCTCCTTAGCCCCACTCCTCAAAGCCCTCCTCTCCACGCCAAAACAGTGACACAGAAGTGAAAATCCAAAAAGAAAAAAAAAATGCATTGAAAAACAATGGCCGACAATAATCACAAGATTGTAATTTTTCCAGTATTAATACTTTTTAATGCAAGTGTTTCTTTTTTCGATACAAATATTTCAATGCTGTTTTTTTGTAGCCTTAGCCATAATATTTTCTTATGTTTAATGTCATGACGTCACTAGAGGTCGTGTGAGAATGTTTTTAGCTACACACCACTTAATCAACAGACACACACACAGTGATTTTCTTCATGTTTTGACTACTGCTCTGGCCAGCTGCATAGTTGGCACATCAGGTGGCATCACAGTTTGACGTGCCTGTGCAGTATGGGGCTAGCCCAACCAAAGAGATAAATGTATAGGCCTGGTTTGGTTCAGGGTCTTTCATCTTTCATCTGCCTGCATGCAGTTTGGAGGTGCAAGATACCTGAGCGTGTAATGTTAATTTTACCTGTGATCCTTTGAATAAATCAGCACTGTTTTGAAGTTACTTGGACTGCCTCATCTCTCAGAGTTAGCATGGTAGCAAGAACTGGTTATCCCTGTATAACTAAAGGAAGCCTAAGTTATGAAAAGTAATTAAAGCTTCTAAAGTAACTAGAACCTATACGAATCAAATCTTACAAAAAGATGCTGCTCGTTGAATTATTAGCCTGTGTTGTTGAAGTGTAGGAAATGTAGGCATTTTTAGATATTATTTTATTAGAGGTGTAGTGCCCACAAGTCCAAAGCAGACACTTTGAAGGGATGTTTTATTCTGAGGAACTCAGAATATTCATAATAAATTAACTTTGATTCCAGGCTTTTAGAAGCAGGAAAGAAACTTCAACCTGCCCCCAGAACTAAGCTGATTGTCTGCTGTGTTTTAGCTAAAGACAGCTTCATGCAAACATCTCCCTTTACTTGTGACTTTTACTACACTAGAATATACATGTTGGACTTTGCACTCTGACCTTAGACAATAAGTCTGAGTTAGTTAAAACAAACCTGGCTTAATATTCACTCTCTCTTATTGACAATAAAAATTTCTTAGATTTGAAAAAAATCTACAAGAAAGTTAAAGGTTTTAGTTAAGTGATAAATTATTTATGGACATGACTAACTCAATGACTGCAAGAAAAAGACTTCTTCCTTTAGAAAGTTAGAAAGGTTTTAGTTAAGTGATAAATTATTTATGGACATGCCTAACTCATTGACTGCAAAAAGACTTCTTCCTTAATAGTCCCTCATAACAATGGAAATGTCATCCTGGATGCAAAAATGGAAAGATATATGATCCAAGGTGCGTAAGCCATTTCATAAGATTACAATAAAAATATTATGTGTAGTTTAAATCTGCCTAACCCTATACAATATTATGTATTCCCCCAAATAGTGCCAAAACATTAGTTCAGGAAAATATGTTTTGATTTTTCTATTGTTATGGTTGTGTGTGTCAGGTTTGCCCAGCTACACCTTCTTCTCTTCTTTTTCCTCACACTAGCCTAGCCCTTGCACTGATTACACTGTTCGACACACCTGCCCCGCTTCCCTGATTACTCACCAGCTGTACCTCATTAGTCTCAATGACATCCTCTGTGATTTTCTTGGTCGGTTTGTTTTTGTTTATCTCGATGACATTCTCGTTTACTCTTCTTCCTTCACAGAGCACATCCAGCACGTTCACCAGGTCCTTCTTCGACTCCTGGAAAACCGCCTGTATGTAAAAGCTGAGAAGTGCGTCTTCCACTCCCCCTCCGTGGCATTCCTGGAGGAATTCATCATTGAACAGGGAAGACTCCGCACCAACCCATCCAAAATCACTGCTGTCACCAATTGGCCTACCCCCACCTGTGTGAAGGACCTGCAACGCTTCCTGGGCTTTGCAAACTTCTACCGCCATATATGTCACTACCTTCACTGTAAATAAACCTCACTGCTTGCACCGAAGCCAGCCACCTGGGTCCGCTTTTTATCTGCTCGCTCACTCTGTGTTCGAGCGCACATAACAGTGTGCTCAACAAATGCTTGCTTATGTTCTTTCATTTTCAAAGTTAGCCTTCCTTTCTCCCTACAGAATGTCTGCGTATGTCTTTTTATGTTTAAACTATGCACTGCTTAAATTTTTTCTGGCCATGTGAGCCCTGCTAAAAGCTACAGTAAGTGAACCCTGGCAAACTGAAGTCTCACAATAACTGTAGTTACTTGATTAAAGTCTCTAACCTATCAAAATTTAGTTATATTTATCTACAGATTCTCGATTAAACCCCAGAATTTAGATCTAAAATCTAGCTCAATTTTAGACCATTTTAACTCACCCACTATTACTAGTCAATCCTCCCGTCATCCACTGATTTCATCATTGTTATAAATGTTAGATTTGATTAGATTCAACTTTATTGTTGTAGTGGATAAAATAAACAAACAGAATATAGTAACAGTTAATGCATAACATGTAATGTGGAATAAAACACAATAGCGTGGGTTATACTGTTAGAGTTTTAAAAAAGTGCTTGTGTAATAGTAGCAGGGATTGACCTTTTGTTCTTCAAAATGTGTGTGTGCTGCACTCTGGGTGAAAGTCAGATGGCCAGGCCTTCCTGTTATTCAGAACATCTTGCAGAGAAGCGAGTTTAAGAGTTGACGCAATTGGGGGGACAATGACAGGAAGCGAGACATGACAAAATTAGCAGCAGAGTCATTCACACGCACGCGTGCATGAAGACCCGGGGAGAAGACGTGCAGAGAGACTAAGACCAGAGAAACTAACAAGGTGATCCTATATCCCACTCTTTCAATCATATTTCAGTTCTTTCCCTCTGAGGGGTTTACTACCAGGAATGTGTCATGTACTGTCGACCTGTACTGTTTACATTCTCAGTTTGCACATGCATAATTGCACATTGATTGTTGCACATGCTCCCATGCAGCATACATTCTTTTATTATATTCTTGTACATTTTTATTATATTGCTGCATTTGTGCTTAAAGTGCCTAGATTTTGTGTTATTTATCTACTTTATATTTCATTTGTATTTTGTAGCATTCATGTAAACGGCAAGTAAGAATTTCATTGTACAGGTAAACACATGTCCTAACTGTGCATATGACAAATAAACACTTTGACCTTGAATGTTTTGGCACTGGCACAATGAAGGTGGCTTTGAAGCACATTGGCACAGCTGCTTGGGACAGGTTAAAAATGTCTGTAAAGA